TCTAACTTTCTCTCTCTCTTTCCCCTTTCTCTTTCCTCTTTCTCTTTCCACTTTTTCTCTTTCCCTCTCTCCTCTCTTTCTCTTCTCTTTCTTTCCTCTTTCTCTCTCTCCCTCTCCCTCCAGGTTAGGAGAGAGAGAGAGAATGAAAGGCAGATGGCGCCGAACGGGTGGGGAGAGCAGGACGGAAGGTAGAAGCTCCTGGCCGCCCCCCCATCGCTTCTTCAGCCGAACAAGCAGGGAGGGGCAGGGAGGGGGAACAGGACAGGAGGCAGCGGCTCCAGTGGCGGCAGCCCCATTGCGTCCTCAGCCAAACGGGCAGGGAGGGGGAGCAGGACGGGAGGCAGCGTCTCTGGCGGCAGCCACTGCAGCATTGTCGGGGTCCCCGTCGCTGCCCCTGGCCCGGCCGCCGCCCCCGCCGCATCTTCAGCCACTTCGCCGTCTTAGGAGGAGTGCGCCAAGGCCAGGTGCACCATGGGCAGCCGCGCCGGCAACAGGGAGTACCGACGAGGGGGGGTCCCGATCGCCGCCAGCCCCGCCGCCCTCGCATCCCAAGGTCTCCTTCTCCTGCAGCAACGAGGGCAGCAGCGGCGGCTCCCTGAAAGTGCCCGAGGAGGGTGCCACCAATGGGGCCAAGGTGGGGCCGGGCGGCGGAGAGCCCTGCGGCAGCCAGGCGAGCTTCATGCCTGACTGCCGTCCGGCCCAGGCTGGGGAGACATGTGGCCGGTTCGGCTTCCCGGGGAGCGATGCTCCCGCTGGCCGCCGCACCAGCCATGACTGCTGCCCAGCACGGGGAGACATGTGGCTGGCTCGGCTGCCCGGGGAGCGGCCCAGGAAGCGATGCCCCAGCCGAGACTGGAACAAGTAAGCCGGGGGGGGCGAATCACCTGCCTCGCAGCCACTTCGCGGCGGTGCTCTGCGGACTCAGAGCTCCCTCCCTCCCCCCCTGCCACTGACCTTCCATCTCCGGCTCTGCTGCTGCTTGGCCAACGGTTGCGCCGGCTGGACATCGCAGGGGCTGCTCTCTCGGGGCTGCGGCTTATGGGAGGGCTGGCCCACTCAGCAAAGGCTCCGGGGGGTTGCTCCCAGCGGGGATCCCGGGGCTTCCCCGCATGGCTCCCCAGCCACGTGCGCCTGGGACAGGGCCAGCCCGGGAAAGGGACTTCCTGGCCGCCCTTCTCCCAGGGGGCGGGACACCCGGGCGCAGGGCCAATGAGGAGTCCTGCGAGGGGGCAAGTCCCATGAGAGAGAGAGAGAGAGAGAGAGAGACAGAAGTGCAAGTGCCTCTGTCTCTGTCTCTGTCTCTCTCTCTCTCTCTCATGGGACTTGCCGGAGGGCCGTGGGAGGGCCGCATTTACATAGAGCAGGGAGGGCTGTTCGAGGGCCGGATTAAACCGGGCCGCGGGCCGCAAATGGCCCGCGGGCCGGACTTTGGACATGCCTGGGGTAAAGGGTCTTTTGCATTTTCATTGTTATGAATAAGTCTTCCAGTATTTTATTTGTGTATGGTAGTTTATATTTCCCTTCTTTCATCTCTTCCGTCTCTAGATCCATTTCCTCTGCTTCACATTCTGATCTCTGGTTTATTTGTTCATACTTTGTAGTGTTGTCTGGGAACTTTCTAGTTGTAGATTTAATTTGGAGATTTGCTCATTTATATTATCTAAATTATTTTTAGTCTCATTATGGTTTCTTTTTATGTTCTCTTTGTATGCAACAATTGTTTGGTGAATTAGTTGTAGCATAGAGTATATTTCCTTCTGAAAGGTGTTTGTTTTTTCTTGAGGTATCATTCCTGGAGATCCTCTAATACAGTGGTCCTCAACCTTCCTAATGCCGCGACCCCAAACCATGTGGTCGTAAGTCGAGGACTACCTGTATTTCCCTGTGGGTGGGGCAGGAG